AATATGCACTATGCAGAGTAGTTATGGATAATTTAGATATCTAGTAATGTGCACTTGTTATTTGTACTAAGTTGTTGACTGTGGGATACCTTCATAACAATGGTGGAAATCTGGCAAAGAATATACACCTGATATGCTATTACTCTAGTTAATGCCAGTAAAATGCGCTTTACAGTGAATACATGTATAATTCATAGCTATGCACTTCTAGTAATATTCCATGTGCAGTAAATCCTCTTCAATTTAGTAAATGCATTATGCATCGAATTTCGGGATACTGCAGAATCACGCACCTCTAGTAATATACACTATACACCGCAGTTTTAGATAATCAGAACTCGACACTAAAAGTAATATTCAGTTAGTAAAATGCACTCGAAATTCTGAATAATGCTGAACTCTTTTACTGTTAGTAAAATGCACTCGGAATTCTGAATAATGCTGAACACTTCACAGCTAGTAAATTGCACTCGAAATTCTGAATAATGCTGAACTAGTAATGCACTCGAAATTGAATAATTTAAGATAAACATAAATTGTAATTCAATCGTAAATTTACCTTCTTTACCATTATCTAACCATTTCGTTAGTTCTGTTCAAAAAGTCTGAAAAATTCAAAGATATTTGTACAGTAATTATATTACCAATTTAATTAGAACATGAGACAATAGCCTATAAAATATATCGTGTTTCTTCCTCATTATAACCTTTAATTTATAAAAGGACGTTTTAATGGGAAAATAAACAATGGTAAATGATGCGGCTTGTACGTTAACTGTGTGTTATTCGATCTTTTATCGGTGCTAAAGACCTGTTTTGTTCAATATAAAGGGAAAATGGTAATATGATTCCGGCAAAGAAGTCTTTGAAATAGTGATATATTTATGTAATCATATATGAATCTCAATAAAGGATTAGTCGTAAAAATATAGAAATTTAGTCATCATGAATAATAATTGCTTAAAAAATACTGGCTTCGTTATTTTTGCATTGATAATCAAAGTATTAACAAGGAAGCGTAGTGAGCAATCTACTCACTTGATGACGTTAATCACTGAGATCTATTGTTTAACCGATTACCTAGAGACAAATCCCTTTGACACAATTGATATGATTGACTTATTGAAATTGACAATTTGTTTTGATAATGACCGTCACTAGTTGGTCAGTGGGGCCTGGACCTCATATTAATATAAGATGCCGTCACTAGAGGTAGGTCCTATTTCTTTGCTCTACATACCGTTAAGGTTGATCTATGGCTAAGTTAGTTTTAGTGTGTTGTTGAGTATACCCGACTGTTATATATGGTGTTATTGTTTAGTGTGTACCGAAATGGACGTATTTCTTGTATTATTCAAGATTGTAAAACGATTTTTGTAAGTATAACATTGGATATTACTTTTTTTTTAATTATTGTAGACAGGGCTGTGATCTCGAAAGGCATTGATAGAAAACCCCTGTTAATGCCCACTATATTATCATCTACGCTTTAGGTCTTAGGGGATGTCATTGAGTCAAGTGGAGTGATTTTGAGTAAGGTTGCCTGTCAATCTCGGGGGTTTCTTTGAGTCCTTCCCCTACGCACAAGCGAATTATTGAAATAGAACTGAACCGTATGTTAGTCCCGAAATGACCAAGTTTGTGTCGAGTGGCCTCTCTCTGTCATGCTATATACAATATTGAAATTGCATATTCTGGGGTGTATATTCTTTTTATGTAGCAGGTCATATTATTTTAAAATTCAACTTTGTTATTGGATTAATCGGTTTAATTACCGATTCACCAAATTCTAATAGTCATTTTAAAATATGCCATAAGTAAGAATGTACATTAATATTCCAATAAATACATTTGCGTGAAATAGCATTTTTAAAGATATTTTTACCAAATTGCATTTCGATTGTATTTTAGGAAATAACAATGAAACAGTGTTAGTTTGTACTCACTAACATTAGGACTAATCAATACTAATTAATTATTGACTTGATTGACAGTCTATTGTCTCTGGAAGACTTGTTTTGTTTATTATTAGTTTTAACGGTTAACATAATTTAGGTTGAACGGTTCGTAGCCTGATAAGTGATCATCGTTAACGGTTGCATCACCGGTGAACTCAGATCAAGAGAGTTACAACTCAGATCGTACGAGTTACAACTCAACGCATTAATCAATATGTCATCGCAGTAATTAATAGATCTGTTTTCTTAAAAGTTTTTGTATCAGATAGTTGATTGATGAAAAGTGTTTAAGTACTAAAATAAATATTTTTTTTTAATAGTAAAACAAATGAATAATTATGTAAGAAAGGTCCAGTGTAACGAATGTAAATAAGTACTGTTATAATAGCAACACAAATGTCATTAAAAACAACGAAGTCAGAATTCAGTTATAAATACTAAATTTAGATGTCGGTATTTTTTTTTAGATAAGTCAGCATTAGGGTACAAATAGTGAAATATCAAACAAACAGTTTTAGGTGATAATTGTATTAGTAGCAACCAGGATATCCGCTATATTTTCACTTATTTGTAAAATACAATATGTTGGAGGTGTTCTAGCTTGAGAAGTAAGAAATGAAAAAAATATATGTACATGAAAAATTGCCCTCAATAACTTAAACACTTACCAGACAAACATGTGTATATATGTATCATATTACTGTCCAAATAATCCTTTCTTTAAATGGAAAAGTGGGCTTTTTTGATTTTGTGTGGACCTCATCTACATTTGCCGCTGGTGTTTTGAAAGCTTACACTATTTTTAACATATATAAATCAAATAAAACATGGTTCATATTTAGAATGGAACGTCACGCTTTTAGCATTTAGACTAGGTGAACCATTTCCGGTTTTTGCTGTAGAAAAGTTTGATAAAATTGTTTCAGTTTGCCGCAAGTACTGTATCAACGACAAAACACTCGCCCTTTCCTCTTGGAACTTTAGCCCCGCTTTTACAAATTGCGTGGATGTCTTACATTTATGTGTATATTTTATTGGATACTCTAACAAAGTTGACATTAAGTTGGTTGGGTCCGTCACAGTTTGAAAATATAGCTACGATAAGTCCCTCGACACCGTTCACGAGAAGAGCTCATAAATATGCCCGCCTTATGCCTAATGGACAGTTAAATAACATGTGATACCCTAAGAGGTATATACTTAGGTGGCCCAAAATATGTTATATCCAATAAATTTTACATTGTAAATCTTATAAATCTTATAGCACAAATGTTTGTAAGTTCATGGAAATTCCTTACTTGGTGATAAATTGTTTCTTTTGTTTAGCTTTTGTTCGGGTCTTCAATAGACGAAATAAAGTAAAACGCCGCGCTTAGAGCACGTCCGACATTTTTCTTTAGGTGGTCAGAAACCTGTGCCAATCCAAATTAAGGATTTTACAGATAGATTTGCATTATCCACTCGCGAGTGTACATAAACAGTTTCATGTGACAATGGATTTTGTCCATAAAGGTCTCCGTGCCGCGGATACAAAACAAACGTAGGTGTAAGTGCTTTAAGCGCGATCATTTTGTGAAACGGATCAGATTGCGTTCTGCCGTGCCTATCGCGTAAAACAAGCAACATCGTTTGTTGACAATTGAAATGTGTTGATGGGGTCCCTTTGTGCCACTGTCATCTTTGCTTGCTCTATCATATCTAATGATAAATATAAGTAAACTTTGTCACAATTTGTATGTGCTTAATATTGAATAGGATGTGTACATTTGGCGTGACTCCATACGCTGTTTCAGAAATGACACTCTTCCCAAGGGGTTAATCATTCCATACTCATGCCCGGGAACTTTGTTCACGGTTTGTTTTTGTTCTTAAAAGTCGTGTCCCTTTTGTGAATAGATTAGATATCATATTATATTGAGTCAGTTACTTTTAGAAACGCTATAATTGCTAGTAATTTAAGCGGGGGTTCTATTCTTAAAGTACTGACTGTAATTCGTCATTTAGGCGGTCACGTAACTAGTTTATCAAACATTTGAAAAGTTTTGGAGTTTTAACACCGAATGTGTGACACGTTTGCTGCCAACATCAATGGTTAACTTATACTACGTTGAACAATAATGTGGTATCCTGAAACCTTCATTTTGACTTTCTGTCTGTTTACCATCATGGAATAGAAAATAGAGTGGGGTAGTTTGTTACTCAGATTGTACTTAAGTCGGTTTCCCAATCGTAGCCGAGCGTGACTTTAACATACGAACACCTGCAACATAAGCGGGTGACCAAGAAAATAAAACGATTTATACAGGTCTTAAATTTGATAGTTATCCGACTGACAATCCTAGGGGGAGACACTTTAGCTAAATCCCACTTAAGCCCTTTTTATCACTGGGGCTTATTATATTGTCATACTCTATGACGACCCCATACGCATATATCCTCCACAATACGCGAACCCGTTAGCTATGTTGTATATAGTACGCTGAATTCTCCCCATAGAAACGCGGAATGTAAAGTCGTAGGTAACGAATTAGAAGCTTATGGTTTAAAACTTTTACAATGAAAATAAAATATTCGCTCGTTTTATTTTATGGTCATTGTAAGTACATTACCTTTAAGATGGCTTTGTTTGATCCTGGCCTTCATCTTTTTATTAGATTAAGTGCAATTATGTTTATAAGAATCTTATTATAGTTTCTGCTATAAAATTTTTATATTTGAACCAGTGTCTGTTTACAGGTGTTTCTGCAGTGTTTACTTTGAATTCACTACACGTGTACATAGTCTATATATATTTCTACCTTTATTTTCTTTGTTAATCAGTTACGTGCATATTGATGGGGATATACGAATGATTTATTATCATAGCTTGTACCCAGAACAATTTGTAGAAAACTGATGCCGTGTCTTCAGCAGCCGCCAGATGTAACTGTTTTCTCTTTCTATTTATGGCAGCGTCCATATGTTAGAATCTTTATTTTAATAACTGATTGTGGTTTTTTTTTAAAATTTGTTTCTTAATGTTTGTATTCTTTCTCTTTTCAGGCGTCGTGTCCACTATGATCGCAGTTTGTTACAGTAGCTTGGTGCTATTACTGACCGTGCTTGTTATAGATCACAGCTTCTTACCCTCAGCTGAAAGCCTAGAACTGCCACCCCGGAGGAATGAGAAAGTCATCAAGGCGGTAGAATCCAACCTGCTGGGTCTCTTTGGTTTAAAATCTCGCCCCGTTCCAGGACGCCGTACGCCGATACCTGGATACATGTTGGATTTGTACAAGCGTTTAGACAGGGATCCCGAGTTCATCAGTCCCTACGCCCAGGCGAAAGGCAAAGGCATCGTCTCCGCCAACACAGTTCGCAGTTTCTACCATGATGGTAAGCATTTTATCTTTTGAGTTATACCTCAACCCGCCTTCATTAGTCCAGTCGGACCAGAGCAGTAGGACGTTTAAAACTCATTTCATTTCTATCCTCATCAGAAGGTTTCCTAATGTGGATATAGATGTAAGAATTAAAAATATGCATTTGGGGAATCGAAAGCATTTACTTTCAGCTGTAAGGGCGGGTTGTAGGAAAAAGGGTACAATCTGACTTAACAAATAATCGAATAAATAAATAAATTAAATGACTGTATTCTCGCTGTTAATTGTGGATAATCACAACTATTACATTTTATCCGTTAATATCACACATCAAGCTAAATGCGATAATGAAAGAAAGTGATACTACATTAATGGACAATACTGTATTACAAATCATGCTTTGTCAAAACTAATGTCATTTTTATTATCATATTTTTCAGATGTTGAAACTGGCAGTGACTGTGATGAAAGAACATGTGTTAGAATCTGGTTTAACGTTTCCACCATTCCTGATGGCGAAATCATGGCAGCGTCAGAACTACGTGTGTTTAAAGACGTCTACGACATCGTAGCCGCAACTCCAACAGAACAAGCGAAAAAAGACGGTCAAAATAATATAAAAAAGAATCATTATAAACATAGACTGGAGATTCATGAAATCATGCAAGCTCCTTCAAAAGATAGTGAATGCATAGCACGACTTATTGACACTAAAATTGTGGATACGAGAAACTCTTCGTGGGAATCGTTTGATGTTCATCCAGCAGTATTAAAGTGGAGAAAGAGACCTAGTTATAATTATGGGATAGAAGTGCGAATTGTGTCCGATAGTCCGTCGATATCGACTACGTCACATGTGAGATTACGTCGCTCGACAGACATTGATGAACAGCAGTGGCAAATCCAAAGACCTTTGTTAGTAACGTACACAGATGATGGCCGTGGGCCTAAATCAAGGACTAGTCGTAGCACCAATGCGAGGCGACGTAAAGCACGGAAGCGACGTCGTCGGAAGAAAAAGGGAAATAAAAATGAGTGCAAGAGACACGTTTTATACGTAGACTTTGGTGATGTGGGTTGGAATGATTGGATAGTAGCGCCCCCAGGCTACAATGCTTACTTTTGTCGGGGGGAGTGTCCGTTCCCGATGGGACAGCATCTGAACTCTACACACCATGCTGTTATGCAGACTCTTGTTCATTCTGTGGATCCTACTGCCGTGCCTAAAGCGTGTTGTGTGCCCTCGGACCTTAGCGCTATTTCTATGTTATATTTAGACGAGTTGGATAAAGTGGTGCTTAAAAACTATCAAGATATGGTTGTGGAAGGTTGTGGCTGTCGGTAATGTTTTCCTGCTCACAAAACCTCAATATTGTTTATTTGAAATAAAAAAAACACGAAAAACGAAAAAAACTCGTTTGTTTATAATGTGATAAAATCTTGTAGAAAAATGGACGCCATGACGTGGTCAGTAGAAAGAGTGCTGTGCCTGGTACAAGGTGGTGTGGTATCTTTTTATTTAACACTTGAAGAAAGTACCTCATACTGTACATGTATATGAGTGATCGGCATGTCATGTTCAATATACACGTGTGCTAATATAACTACTCAGGTCCGATGGGTTTGTTTCACAACCTTTATACACATACTTACTTACCCTGGAGAGTGAGCGAGAGCGAGTGAACGGGAAAAGTTTAGGCGGGATAAAAGAGTGTTTGTAGCTCTCAGAAAACAGTACATAAAAACCAAATATTCAGTAATGTTGTCGCAATTTTCCCAGATCAGTGGCATTTTTTTCTCTTATAAAACAAAAATTACCTCATTAGAATTTACATGTACCTTATTGATAGCCTATTGATGATACATTTGTAACTGTAACTTGAATGATGTAACTGTATATTTAAGGGTCATGACTAGACCATTTTGTTGTATTGTAATTTCTCTTAATTGTAATTATTACATTATTATAAATACAAAAAATATACATTCATTGTAAAGATACATAGTTATATACAAAAAATAGTGCACATTATCAATTATTATTTACAATGCCGTTACTATGTCGTTAGATATTAATGGTGTTGTTTACAGACCAAGCTGAACTAGTCATAAAATATCATTACTATGGTTGTGAATTTAGTGAATATATGTTTATTTTTGGTTTTGAATTATTATTGAATGTATAACAGTGCTGAAAAATAGGAGCAAAAGCCGGAACTTTTTTTGTCAGAACAAAAAATCTGTTTTTTTTAATCAACGGCTTTGTTACTTATTTTTGATCGTTCTATTTTATATATGGACGATAGTTACCAGTAAATAATTATTTAAAAAAGACAAAAAAGTGAATTAAATGCAACATTTAATGTTGACTATAGTATTTAATATGCTGTTATAAAGTTCATGATTTGTATATATATTTATAAAATCTATTTTAAGACTTGTAGTTACATGTATATGGTTGAATTAATGACCAGTTATTTGTGAAATCTATACGTGTAAGAATATTATATTATATATTACAAAAATATATATCATGATTTGTTATTTGTTGAATTTGAGAACAGTTTTTGATTTGAGTCTGATCCCCACTCTTTCTCTCCCAAACAAAACATGATTTGTTATTTGTTGAATTTAAGAATAGTTTTGATTGGAACCTGTCCCTTACACCCTCTCTCCCAAACCGTGTAACATGACTTGTTATTTGTTGAATTTTTATTGAAACCTGATCCCCACCATTCTCTCCCAAACCCTAATCTCTACCATGTCAAGTTATTACTAGAATGACAAATGATTTGATCAAAATGGTTTGTGGCAGTAACTTATCTTAGAAAGGTCGGTAACGAGGACTATGATTGGTCCGATTGGCTTCGCTTGTCTTTAACACGCTGTATTATTAAATACTAAACAGAATGGCTAATGCAGAGAAGGTAACAACTTAATAATGTGAAGACACCCAGACCCCATTTCATTCATCTCCATCCACTACTTAGTACCTAGATCATAATACATAATTAGTGAAAAGAATAGATGAAAATGTGACAGATTTTCTGTTAATGAATTTTATATGTTACAGAGCCAATCGGGAATTAAGAAAACCACCCACTGAATTTGACAGAAATCGTGTGTTATTCGCTTTCAATTACACTACCCATATCACAGATAGTCACCCAAAATTGTGGTCTCCAAAAGACGAATAGGGCAGATTCTCGAGACTAACCATCCAGTTCTGTGCAGCAGCCCATTGTAAATTATTGGAGAATTTCCATTGATGTCAACGTTAACCGAATGATTATTGTTTTAAAAGAGCTAAATCTCTTATTTTTAAAATCTAAAATGGACGAAAATGTGTCGAAAGGCACATATTAATGCAATATGAATATATATATATATATAAACTGACCACATTCAATGACAAAAATTTTATCGTAATTTCTGATCGGTAATATTCGGCAAAATACACGAATGGTCCAAACTGAATGTTAGTCGTTTACGTCTGGTTAGTCATGTGTACATCGGCAGTACGGTTTTCCATTTCACTTACGCACTGACGCTTTGCCTCGTTCATCAAGACGCCTCATTACAAACCTTATACAAGTCGACGCCGCACACTGATTTTCAAATGTTCATTGGACAGCCCCATATTGTCATGGTAAAATAACAACATCAATATTGATTGAAGTGGACTATTACTAAATTTGAATTCGTGTATTTAATGCCGTAGATTCTGTATAATATCGACTTAGTCATATGCTACTGACACTGTATGCTGAAAGTAATCTCCCCCCGTGAACGTCGTAGAGCATTTTATTCTATAATCAATAAGAATCATATTAGTTAACCGGCTTTAGATAATTCAATTAATAATCTTCTTGTAGGCTACATCGAAAGCCTGAATTAATCTGAAAGTGTAAACCAAATCTTATTGGATCGAAATACAGTTTCATTCGATGTAACTATATTCGAATGATAAATTTTGCTGTTCGATCTTGCAGATTTAGATCTTGATATTTGATTAGATTGATGCCAGTGTGAAACTGACTCAGTGCCGGACGCTGGATATTTGATTTGGGGGATTGGGGGGGGGGGGGCTTCCCCACTTCCTCAAAATGTTTGAAATATAGTGGTGTTAATGTCTGGACACGAATACAACATTTAACATACAAACAGTTCAAAATTACACGTTTCATAGAACCAGGCCTCGAGTTCACAAAGCATTCTCAGACTTAAGTTAAGAATTTACTTAAAATTGTTCGCCTTATTTTAACTAAAATATAGCCCTTTATAAAACCGTTGTTGTGTTAATGTATTAAATACATCACTAAGAATCCATGTGCACAGTTTTGTGTTTCTGGAGGAGCAAAGATATTTCCCCTAAACAGTGATTGAAAGTTGATTAAATTCTTAACTTAAGTCTGAGAATGCTTTGTGAACTCGGGGCCAGGATTATAAGCGGATTTTTTTTTATTTTGTTACTTGGGAGTGGGGGGCGGCCTCCTACTCTCCACTCCGCCACTTGGATCAGTCACTGAACTGACTTTAAACAAGTTTACTTCCATGAATTCTAGTATTCATGTATTCTATACCGGCGCTCCATGTGATAACCGAAAATGTTCGTGGCTAAACAGTACACTACATATTTATAAAATGGATGTAAAAATTATTCAAGCTGACATTTAGTAGAAAAACTGGATAGTTAAAGCTTTGTGTAGAGAAATGAATTAAGACATAATACCTTACATTAACTAAACTCAGTTGATTAAAGAATAAATTACACTGTTTTATGTTTTTATTTTAGAGGATAATTACAACCAAGGGGCTGTTTAAATATCTGAGTAGGTATGCATTTATTTTATTAAAATATTAAAACAGTATTTTAGCTAATGACGACGTATATAAGCCATGCATTGGGGTATAAGGGAATATTTGCCAACTTTTCAATGGCCTATTAAAGACATATACGCCATACATTGGGCTATGGGGAATATTTGCCTACTTTTCACACGGCTAATGAAGACGTAAATACGCCGTGCATTGGGCTATGAGGGAATATTTGCCGACGTTTCATTGAATTCAAACTCTTGGGTTTATTTACGTGCACACAAACGTGTACTACATAAGACTTATTTTTTTTTCAGGGTTCTCCGTCTGCACCAGTATCGAACCCATGGCCTGATCCAATACCACTCTCAATGGTCCACTGAGGTTAAAAACGCATTACGTAGTTAATAATCACAAGAACATAAAAAATGGAACACAATTACTATTTTAGTTAAAGCGAATTGTCAAGCAAATGATGATGAATATAATATAATATCATTTACTTGAAAACGTTGAGAGAACCCCCAACGACACGTCGCTTTAATTAAAATAGTAATTGTGTTCCATATTCTGGGGGGGGGGGGGAGGTTGGATGGCCGAATGGTTAGCACGTGCGTGCTGTATCATAAAGCCTGTCATTGAGTCAACTGGCGTGGTTTCGAATCCCCGGTTGTACGTGACAAGGAGTAGGATCGCCTGTCCAACCTCGTGGATTTTCTCCGGGTCCTCCGGTTTCCTCCCACTGCTAAAGACCCCTATGCGCAAACGAATTATTGAAATAAAATTAAACCATATGTTTGTCCCGAAATGACCTAGTTTGTGCCGAGTGGACGTTAAACCCCATTTCTCTCTCTCTCTCTCTCTCTCCATATTCTGTTTTTTTGTGTTTATTACGTGTCAATTGCTAAATGCCGCTCAAAGAAGGCATTACGTAGATGTTTAGCACAAAAAGAGGTAGCCGATCTGTTCCCAGAAGACCTTAAAATAAAGAAAAATTCACTGAACATCTTATGACATTGGGAAACTCACATGTATGCTAAAACAAAGCAAACGTCAAATATTCCATCTAGATATTGTTCTTGATGTAATAATATAATACTGCTTCAAAGTATTTAGACGAAAACTATGCCGTTAACAACACAAAGCACACAGGCTTCTGTTTGAAACTTTGAACCAGAATTTTTCGAATTATCAAAAATATTTAGAGAAAGAATGTGTACAGAAGACAAAGACACTACCAACAATAGCGCACAAAGAAAACACATGGAAAATAGATTTCAACAAACTGGTCCTAAAAATGAGTTAACCTTAATATTCATAGAGATTGCTGGAAAGCTAAGCGTGGGCATTTTTCTTTTCCCTTTATTTTTTGTTTCAAATGTCAAAACTAATATTTGAAAATGTCAGCCACGTAACAGAACGAGGACTGAGTACAATAAATTCTAATATTTACGGAGAGGTAAAAAAAATGGAGGAAAACAAAGGGTAGATTCTCTTAAACTTTTTATAAAAATTAATAAAAAAATAGATGTAGAGGTATACAAGTTGAAAAGTGTAAAGAAACAAATTGAGCATAGAAATTACATCGGCAATGTACAAAGAGATTTAGATAAAAGGCTATATTTTTGATATTACAGACGAAATCAATTTAAAATAGAATTATTATGGTTCCTTTGATATGTAAGTACATTTATGTGAAAGTGTTTATTTGCTTAGATTTCGATCTGTCGTGTTATTTCGGTTCGGTATAATTATCCGAGTCTCGTTTTTCACAAATGTATATCTCAACGCAGCCTGCTTGATTCAAGTTTTTGAAGTTTTAACCGAAACTCTTATATCACAATTTTGCAGAAGATATTAGAAAATCTAATTATGGAATGGAATTGATTTTGTCGTGGCAGCTCTCTGCTACAAATAGTACAAATAGTTTCCACCGGACGTAAGGGCGTGTTTGGTTGGATCGAATCTTAATGCAGGAATCCAGATTTATTAACGAAACAAGATCTTAATTTTCAATATGCAGATGGGTTGGGGTGTAGGGCTAACAACAGTGACAGCCTAGAAGGAAAGAAGATTCTCCAAAATGCGCAGTTTAGAGGCTGAAATTGAAACCGGATTCTATATAGATTGAACTAATTTACAATTCCGTAGAGGTGGTACAGTATAATTTGTCGTAGAGAACCGCGGCAGTAGTAATAGTAACTGGTGGTTTAACATCTGCATCCACAGTAGTGATATCGCAAACCAGTTCGCCTAATGGCAAACGGAATACCTGAGCAACGCCCGCCTTTGTTGGACAGACAATCTAGACAAAAAAAAACCACAACACAGTTTATATGGAAATACAATCACTGGTTTATATCTAGACAAGTTTATTACGTGTATATCACGTGTTTAGCTCGTTAACAATGTCTGCAGTGATCCCCGTGCCTTTGGGGTTAGTTCTAAGAAACGGCCCGGTGGCATTTTAGTTTGGATACAGCATGATAAACACTGGATCATACCACTTTTGTGTCAAATAAGTGTTGATTGTCAGGTCATCACCAAGATCAACCAAGCTACCGAAACCCCCACCATTTCCCTTACAGCGACTGGTGAAGATAATTGTACAATTTGTAAGTGTTAGATAAAAACAAGGCTCTTGCTGTGTTAATGACAGTTCGTGGATACGATATATACTTAAACAACTAGCTTATTGTGTCTGCAGATGGTCTGACACATGTCACGTGTGGACATAGTCAATTAAAACATAGCCCACCATTGGGTACACGTCACGAGATGTCTATTTTATACTTACAGCATTCCATATCTACATATTTTATATTTAAATTACATTAAATAGATAGTTATCCTTTGTGCGCGTAATACCACATTTTAAAAAAATTGATGCAATACCGCATTTTAGTGTGTTTATTTTTTTTTTAACTGAACGACAAAAGAAACGCCAAAAACATTTACACGCAGTTTCCAATTTAGTGGATGAATGGACTGTAGTTTAACGTTTCATCAATACAACATTTTTGTTTAATTAAACTGGACATAATAAAACATTTAATTTATTTTAAAAGGATGACCGACAAAAGAAACGCCAAATAAATGCAGCTTTCGGTTAAATCAATCGATATAATGGGGTTTAACGTTTCATCAACACATTTTCAGACTAACACAGTGTTAAAGCGATGGCTATCCGTTATTTAACTTATTTGGACGTAATACCACATTTTAAAAAAAAAATAGATGTAATATTACATTTACTTTTATTGAAAAGATGATCGACAAAAAAACACTAAACACTCTTAAATGTATCTTCCAGTTGAATGATTGCATGGAATGGGATTTAACGTCTCATTAAAACAATACTTTGGTCATTTTGAGACTAACATACGGTCACATGTGCGTTAATAATGATGAGGTTAATCTTTGTGTCCACGCCATTGTGTCCACACGTGGACCTCGGTTTTTCGTTCGATCCGAAAGACTAGACAATACTTGACTTGTCAGCCCATACAGTCACTCTCTCTGAACGGGCAATCGAGCAGCTTCTAAATTTATCTTTGCCTTTTCTTAAAGATAACGCAATTTAAAAAAAACTGAAATGGAAAGTCCAAACTACTGTCACAGTGATGGACCAAACAGTAGCTTCGCGGAGCCTACACACAGCATACTAGTCATAGATAAGCTCCGCGGCAGGTTTTATCGGGTGAATTAGGAAAACATTGTACAATAACAACTAGAAGATAAACAGTTGTAATCAGACATGAAAATCATTATTCCAATAAATAATTTAGAGTTCCTTTTGGGATAATGTAATAGTGAAATAAATCATTTATAGACTAGCGCCTGTGATTAAATGAAATGGAGTTAACGTCCTATTATTCTGCTCCAACATGGCTAATGTAGGCGGTCATGTGCCATGCAGTGTGCAAGGCTCACTCGGAAGGCGGCGCTACTGCCTACTCTTATTTCGAATTCCAACTGTCAAGGGTTCTTTTCCATGCCAGGCCCTCCCGCTTTCACCTCTGACATAGGGAAACCACGCTAGATAATCCAGGGGGAAGTTCTCGGCCAACACCGGGATCGAACCCTGGAACTCCTGGTCCACATATTAGTCTTATCTCTTAATTGACTACTAATATCAACACGAAGTAAACAGAAACAGTTGCTTAACTTTCATTAGATTTTTTAAAAGATCAAATTGATGATAAGTATAATACAAATTACGCCGGTAAAATTGGGTCAATCAATAATGATAATTGCAATAAATTCTATATTATTATAATTATATCATAAATAACAACAAACTTAACATATAAAACTTGAAATAAACAACAATTAACAATATAAACACATTCTGCTCCAAAAACGGGGGTAATTTATTTACAATCATGTATATATTATTCATTTCACGTCACGATATAATCTTGTACAATCAGACTAAAATTATGTGTTAGACTCGCATTAATCTGAACAACCTTTTGCCATTATTACTGCCCAATCGATATAACTCTTCCGCGTGAAGTGTAAATACATTTAACTTTTAAACTCTATTAAAATAATACACCATGATTGCATATTTGTGCCTAAACTCACAGTATTTTTCCTCCAAGATTTGACCAAATCTACCTATTTTTAATTATTAATATAATTTATATACGGTGAAATAACAATACTTTCTAATACTAACAACATTATTTTCACAAAAAATAACAAACATAAAACCACCAGTTCGTATAAATTCAACTTTTTGTTTTGATTTTTATTTTGCTTGTGGTTCTTACTAGCACTCATTCACAAAGTAAAAATCTCCTTGATTTCTTTGTTTTTGTTTATTATTATCCACATGTTTCTTTGTAAATTTTTAATATTATGCGCGGGGTTCGTTTAATAAAATCGGAAATGTTTTTTTAGCCTTTGTGTGTATGAAAGATGTAAAACGGATTAGATCCATATTACAAAATAATATACTTTTTTTTTAATATGGCGGCCATCCAGGGTAGAGATATATTCTCAAAGTAGACAGTTCTCTGTGTGCAGTAGGTGTTTTTGTAAATAATTTACTGATTTTTGATAATATATAAAACTAGACCCGTTTGAGATCCTGTTGCTATCTATTAAGTAATTCTATAAGAAAGTAGATATATTATCGTTATCAACATCATAATACCGCTTGTCTTGTAGATTTACATTTAGTTGCAGATATTCAACACCTGAAGTATCTTCTATCAACTTTTCCAATTGTTCTCGTAACTTTGTGAAACTTGGTCTGTCTGAAGGTTTCGCTTTCCAACAATCCAACATAATATCATATCTGAAAATATAAACACCAAATATGAAATACAAGAGGAGGAAAAGTAAGAAGTGTACGCGGAAATATCGATGACACAATTCAACATTCCATGCGCCCTTGGCTATAGACAAATAACCGCATATTAGTCTTAAAATAACCGTATGACGTTGACATGACACTAAGCATCACATATTTCCTATTCTTTGTACCTGCACTGTCAAGCTGTACATCATGTTCCTGAAGCAACGACTGCGAGCTTTACAACATCTAGCCGTTACTACATTAGTCTGGAATTCCCAAACATTTAGGTAGTTATCATCTACCTTTACCACAGACACATGATACAAACACGTAATAATAAAAGAACAAAAAGTAAATTAGAAAGGTTTGGACTAAGATGCGAAGTGGGTCATAGCCGAAAAGTGGAAAGTTCCAACAACCTTGATATTGAACGAAGCTTGAAATTTACAACTCGATTATCACAGCTAGACATTTCAGTTGGAAAGCGCGCGACTTGGTATTCGCGATTATAATTTCGAAACAGGAATCTGAGAGGTCCCCGTCTGGGTTAGGAACCAATCGAAATTAGTGTCGAAAAATACGCGAAGGCCTTGATAAGATCGAATTTAAAGCGAGGTCAAGCTTTCTACTGAAGATTGCTGTACATATGATTCGGTTTTTCTATTGATCCGAGGAACTAGATACACTTTCCATGTTAGACCCGAAAATTCTAGTCCAGGATTCCAATCCCGGTGTGGGCTTAGTAGAATCTCGAGATTTTTCAAGCATGGTTCCTAAGTTATAGTCAGCACGGTTAGCACCTTTTGCGCTAACAAATAAAGTGCTGCCCAGTCTTCCGGATGGGACAAACAATCCGTGAAATCGAAGAAAAGAAGGTGGAAGCACCGTTGTCCGGGCTAAATTCTCGCTTAGCATAACATACATGAACAGAGACTTAAATAATCATAGTTTAGTCTCAAAATTACCGAAATATTGAATTGTGTTGACGAGATGTTAGACCCTTTTTATTTCCATTAGGCCTACACGGCATCTCTAGGCTGGACGTCAATGAAATAAAGTAAGCCCAACGGTTTAAAGGGACAATAACACTCTTGCTGGCTTGACAGCTCCAGAAAATAAAAAATAGCCATATTCTAAGTACTAGATGTGTTAGTGTCTTACCTGTTGTGTAAATTATCCATTAAATCCTATTTTACTTGTCCAGAGGGTTCAAAAATATTTTTAAATCCAAGTCACATTTGAAAAGCTTTACGTCAGGCTTTTCAAATCACTTAGTTGACTTTTTCCAATTTTTTAAATTAGGTGTGTTAAGATGAAATTTATATCACCAATTAATTGGAATATTGTAAAATAGTACAATTTGTTGACCAGAATAAAGATTGGGACATATTATTCAGTTACAACAAGAGTGGTATTGAGCCTTTAACGTAAAACCCAAACAAACAACACACGGAACACCTGATTAATGTCGCTCAAAAATGACAAAAATTCTGAAAACTTGAATATTAAAAAGTACATGGTTATAGTAAAACTATAAATATGTAAAGGTAGGGTAAAGTGTCCACATGTAGACATCCTACAAATTATATATGATAGAGACCCATCATATTTTTAAGTTCATTTAGTTTGACGAGTTGACAATTTACACTTCTCAAAGAACCAACGACCACATTATCACAGAAAACTCGTTACCGCTAGACATTTTAGATCTTGATAAATTTTTTTATAGCTAAACGGCGAGTTTAAGTTTGTTTGGTATGTTTTTTATGTTTCACACCTTAAAAGGCATCATATTAACAGGTTTGATATGTTTTTGTTTGTCCTATGCACCCTACGTACTTGCAAGGTAAAGTATGTCCTATATACCATAATATTGTCACCACGTTATTTCTGGTCTTTTTAAATTAAGACTGAGTCCAAGTAGCTTATATGTGATTTATTAAACATACTAGCATGAATGACATATTGTCTTTATAAAACACGTATCATACAGGAGAAATAATTAGGTAAATAAAATATATTTAAAATACATTAAACATACATTATGCAGGAGCTAAATCTGTATATTGCAGGTCTTTCTTTAGGCCTGAAATGTTATCTAAAAATTAGACATTAATTAACCTATCCAGACCATAATCAACTCTAGATGGCATCGTTAGCCTGCGATCTGTAGTGGATTATGAGCCGATTTACTACATAACTTTCCTTCACGATTTAACGATTAAATGGATAATCGAGACTATGCTGTTTATCGTACTGACTTTAGTAATGATGATCAAGGCTAGCCGGAAATTTCAACCGCTTAGTTCTCGGTTCATAGTGGATCAATTTGAATGAAATTTTCAGCAAATTGCCTTTACATTATTTAGTTTTTAACTACTATAGCGAGAACTGCCAACTCGTTATCGAATCTCCCATAATGTATCTTTGATGTTGGCAAAGATATGTTTACCAAAATGGGAAATGTAACATAGGTTTGTAAAATTATATAGAAATCATATGACTTATGTCGGTCATAATATTTATTTGTATGATAACATTTCCCCATGGACGTTATGATTGTATGATTGTGGCTCAGTGAGTAAAGCGCTGGCTCGCAAACCTGGATGTACCGTGTTCGATCCCGGTGTTGGCCGAAAAAATATCATCTGGTTTCTCGGTGTGCAGGACAACGTATAATCGTTCTGTGGGATGGAACGAATAAACGAGGTCCCGTGTACACATTGGCAGTTGGAATTCGATATAATAGTAGGCCGTAGCGCCGTTGCCCCGGCAAAATTTCCCCCATGGCACGCTGTATGGCGTATGCCCGTCATCATTAGCCCAGTCGGAGCTAAACAGTAGGACGTTAAACCCTATACCATTTCATGTCTATATATAGCACACCCATTTAAGGGAAAGCTAACATTTCGCTTATTGACCTAAATAGTTGATAGACAATAACCCTTATTAAGATCTGTCAATATGACAACGCCTACATGCTATTTTAAACATCAGCTGATATGTGTTATAAAAAAGCTAACTTACAAAATATTGACAACAAAAATTAACTTTAATTAAGATAGACACATTATGTGATGTCCTCCCCTAAAATATTGTTTATAAAAACATCTTAAACATACATTATGGAAGAGCTAAATGTGCCTATTGCAGGTCTGTTTTTAGGCCTTAAATATTAACTATTAATTAAATATTTATTAACAGCGTGATTTGACCATAATCAACGCCCGATTATGATGGGTCCGATTTTAAACAGATTTGAATACGATCTGCGCTTCAACGGCGCTTGATGATTAGCCTTAACAACGGTAACAATGACAACCGAGGCTACATTGTTATTGAAATGAGGTTTTCTTCTCCACTAAAAGCGAAGTAGTTTATTGAAATTTTCAGCATATTCCCTTTACATTATCTATTTTTTAAAACTGTCAGCTTTTTATCTAATCTTCCATAATGCCGCTGGTCCATGAATAGGCAGCATTTTTTTTTTATAGGCAGCATTTTTTTTATATAAAAAGAAAAGAAAAAAGGGCTGCCTATTCGTGGACCAGAATAGTACCAATACAGTAGGACAACTGCTGCTACCAGAACTTGTCCTAAGAATAGTACCAATACAGTAGGACAACTGCTCCTACCAGAACTTGTCCTGAGAATAGTACCAATACAGTAGGATCAGTGCTGCTACCAGAACTTGTCCTGTGAATAGTGGTTATACAGCAAATCCACACTATGTTAGCACCGGGTTCGGCAAAACGTTTCAAGTATATTTCAGGTCAATTTAATCGCACAGAGACTGTGTAATCACACATCGTAATGACACACATGATTATCTTCCCCCAACACTAAAATGTCTTGACAGAAACCCAAGTATACAGCATGGGCTAGTTGTAATCATTCAAAATGTGATTGAAAAAAGGTCAACAGTGAGCTAATTTGTAGGGTGGTTTCCGCAAAACAATTAACTTTGTTGACCTGCGTTTATTTTATGGTGTGTGGGGGTGACACGTACATCGCCATTACGCGAAATGTTGTGAAAACTTCAAGATATTTTAATGACGATAGACTGCCAGAAGTAAAACTAACTATGTACATTAGCACTCTGTTGACACATCTGTACGGGCTAGAGATATTTTCAAACCTGCTAAAAGGCCATTCACGATATACAATATCTTTAGCAGAACGGTGATGGAAGTTCTAATTTTATTGATCAATTGTATATTGAATTACGATCATGATCAAGTACGTCTATATACAAGACAATGGCGTCGAAGAGGTTACACAGACGTCAAAGAGAGCAGAAAGGAAATGCCGCGACTAGTTTCTTGTTTGCCCGACAAAATGAGCATTAAATTCACTACTGAGTTCATTCGTAAACATGGATGTCTAACAGGCCTCGAAACATCGGACGTGGTACGAGGGCAGAGAGGGGTCAAGGGTGCATCGGCCCCGATTTGAAAAAATCGTCGCATCCACTGAAAAATATAATGACCTAAATCCAAACTATATATTTGGTATTCTCATCAAGTCACGTATTCTTCACCGCGATGGGCCCCAAGGAAACCAGTTGGTGCGATGGGTCAGTGCTGACCATTTTAAACTTTTAGTTTTCTCACCGGAACGCACATTTCTAATTCATCACATTGCTAATAGTTAGCGATCGCAAAACATTAGCGCAATGATGGTTTTTCCAGTGGTTTAAACGGGTACTGGAACTTTCATCAAGAACAAAATACAAAGAGTTTCATAACATATCATATTGAAAATAATCCAAGGTAATTATGGTAAATCAAACCATTGACCTACTTATAGCCTGTGTCGGATTAAGATGACGAGAGGTCCTAGGCTATTCTATTTATGGGGACCCACCGAATTCGCCACCCCCAGGACTAGAGGTAGACAACAGTTTGTTTTAAACACATATAAGCAAAGATCTTAAGACCCTGGGCTCTAGCTTGGTAAGCCTATAGGTAATTCTAACCTCGTGGGTTTTCTCCGGGTCC